GACGTGGGTGCGCGTGTGTGTGTACAGTGTGTGTGCGCGCGTGTGTGTAGGTAGGTGTGTGAGGAGGTTGGGAGGGAGTGCAGCCGCAGCGGCGGGTGCAGGGCTTGCCCAGCCGGCGTGGCCGGCAGAGCCGCCGTGCCGCGCGCTTGCCGCGCAGCCGTAGGGATCGGGCTGGCAGCAGCTCGGGGGCCGCTTGGGACGCCGGGGCGTGGCTGGCAGGCAGGCAGGCAGGCCCCAGGCAGGCAGGCAGCCAGGCAGGCAGGCAGGCAGGTGGGCAGGCAGGCCGGCAGGCCTCACCTCCTGCTCGGCACCAAAAGTGGCCAGGTCGGCCCGGCTGAAAGACTTGTTCTTCAGGCTGCGGCGCAGAGCAGGAGCAGCAGGTTGAGCAGGTTGAGCTGGCGGCAGCTGAGTGGCGGCAGGTTGGGCAGAGCATGCGGCGGGCGGAGCATGTGGCGGGCTACCGGCCAGGGCCCCCCATGCAGCGCAGCATCTGCTCGGATGGCCAGCCGGCTGCATGAATCGGTGCTTGCAAGACCACGGGCAGACCGGTCAGCCTGGGGCTTTCCCTGCAAGACGCCACGCTCGGCCCCGCCCCGCCCACCCGCCCGCCCGCCGCTCACCTGCGCAGGCCGGAGCCGAAGCCCTGGCTGCCCGTGCGGTGCAGCCCCTCGCCGCCGCCGCCCTCTGGCGACTCCTTGAAGGTCACACCGCTCGCCATGGCCCCGAGGAAGCCCGGCTGCTGCTCGAGGGGGCGCTGGGGTTCTGGCCGCCACAATGCGCGCGAGAGGCGATCAATCGGAATGCTAGGTTGCCTGGTGTGTCGCACGGAACGCGACGGGCTGCCTGGAGGCCAAACTGGGCGGGTTTGGGGTGAAACTGGCAATCTATTCAGTCCCTGCTGTCCTATCGATCGGCAGGTGATGGTGTGGGAGCCACAACCGTGGTTCATGTATGTTTCGGGCCGGTTGAAGGCGGCGAATGCTGACTAGGCTCCAGCCAGGACATGTGGCCTGCTCCTTCTGCACGGCTCTGACCAAGTGCACGTCACCTCAGCACTGCTCCAGGCAGCCGCGGGCATCCGGGCCACGGCAGTCAACGGCCATGACAGTGCCCACATGGATGAAGCAGGATGAGCTCGACGTCCTGCCCGAGCCGGAAGAGGTGGAGGTGGTGGAGGAGGACGGGCTGCGCAAGGCGAGCGGCGCGGCGAGGAGGGGCAGGCCGGGGGCCCAGCGGGCGGAAGAGGAGCGGCCCTCCCTCTTAAGCTGGGCATGAATGGGCATGCCGCCGCCGGCCTGCCCTGTCGTTCTCAACAGCCCTCCCCCACGCCGCCCGCAGGTCATCAACGGCTACACCTGGCCCGGCATCGAGTATGGGGAGCCCCCCAGCTGCGCCTACACTTTCTTCGAGGTGCGGCAGGCGGCCGCCCGCCGCCTGCTCAGGGCCTCGAGGCGGTCAGGGCACAGGCGGGGAGTCGGCGCACGGTGCCGGGGGCCGTGCCGGGCAGGGCTGCTGCTGGAACCAGGCAGCCCACCACGATATCCCATGCAGCGAGCTCAGGGTACAGCGCCTGCCGCACACGCCCCACGGCCGCCGCCTGCCACACGCCCCCTCGCCAGGCCCTGCCCTGCTCCCCGCCTCTGCTCCTGCCCGTACCGTTGCCCGTACCGCCACCACCTGCAGTACATCGACGCCCTGCGCCTGGGCCAGGTGGAGCGCTTCAAGCAGGAGATAGAGCCCGCCTGCAAGCTCTGGTGCCGCTCGGCTGCCGCTGCCGCTGCCCGGCCGGCTGGCAGCTGGACGCAGCGGCCTGCCCCTCTGCTCCCTTCTGCTGCCAGCATGCCTCATGGGGCAGAGGCTGCACACAATCCATCCTTCGGAGTGTTTCCTTGAAGTGTCACCTGTGCCATCACCTGGGATACCTCTGGAGCAGTGACGCTCCTCCCCCCCTCCCGCCCCCTCTGCGCCCACCTGCCGAAGGTACTTTCCAACCCTGGACCGCGGGGCGGGGGCCGCGCTGCACATGGCGGCCGACCACGGCCAGCTGGCGGTGGCGCGCTTCCTGGTGGGCGCCTGCCGGGCTGCTTGACAGCGCCTTTCGAAAGGGTTTGGGGTTGCTTGGCAGCGCTTGGCAGTGCTGGGCTGTGCGTGGTGGCAGTGCTTGGCCCACCTGCCTGGTGGGCGCCTGCGCCGCGCAGCGGCTGGTTGGGGGGAGCAGGCTCGCTTCGCCAGCCTGGTGGCGGTGCGTGCAGAGCGCTCCCTTCCTCCTCCTTTCCACCCGGCACGGCCGCCGCTCTCGGGCCTGCACTCATGCACGCTTCTTCCTACCCCGCTCGCCCCGGCTGCCGCCGCCGCCGCCGGCCTAGCCCCCGGGCCCCGCGCCTGCTGCATGCTGCACTGTGTGCGGCGCATGCCTGGCCTGCATGCATGCACGTGCACCGATTCTTTCCTCCCTGCCCGCCTGGCGTGGCACACTACATACTCCAACGCGTGCAGGTGGAGCAGCGGGGCGTGGAGGTCAACCAGCGGGACTCGGGGCGGGGCTGGACGCCGCTGATGCGCTGCGCCCGCATGGCTCACTACAAGAACGCGCCCTACCTGCAGGCGAGGCCGCTGGGCTGCTGGCTGGCTGGCTGGCTGGCTGGCGGTGTGTTTGCATGTTGGGAGCGCAGGTTGGTGGGGTGGTGTGCGAGGGCGGGTAATGGTGGAAAAGCAGCGGTACAGCACGTACCACAAGGACGCACCCACCTGCCAGGCGGGTGCCGGCTGCTTGTGAGGGCTGCCCTGATCATGTATCGAAAGAACAGCTGTGCGGTTGTGGTGTGCGGCTGCTGGGAGGCAGGTGCTGGGAGGGCGCCCGTGCGGCAGGCCGCACCCGCGGCCCGCGCCCAGGCCCCGCCTGGAGGCCGCC